GTAGCCTTGATCAGCTTGTCCTTCGGCGGAGCAGTCGGGCTGATGTTCCTGATGCTGGGATGCGCCCTTCCCCAGTACAAGTAACGTGCATTCTCTTCCTCTTCTTCGTGTCCGTTTGCGTGTGTGTAGCTCCAGAACAACTTGCCTTTCATAATTCTGGGCTGATAAGTCCTGTGCGTGTCGGAGGGCTTTAGGTGGGGTTTTTGGGCTTCAGAAGACCGGGGCGGGAAAAAAAGACCATCTAGGACTTAATTTACCATAAAAACGAAGGCAACAGAAGTTAAATTATCAGGCCTGGCTGCGAACTGTTGCAGAATGCACTATCCTAATAAGCCTCCAATGTTTTCCCTCTGTGGCTGAAAAGCAGATAACATCTCCTGAAGGAGATAGCAAGTATGTAGTATCAGGGGAGCATTTGCATTTTCTCTGGCCACTTAGTGGCAGCTGGGCTGTCAGTGACTGTGGGGAGGAACCTTGGCAGTGTACCACACTGGTGATGTCATGTCTGGAGTAATTGCAGCTGCCATCGGTACTTCTGATCTGTTGATTTGTGGCTCTTAGTTCCCAGGAGAAGTGAAGTAGCAGACTGAAAGTTAGCCCTATGGCTTCGATCCTTTGCAAGTGAATGCTGACTTTATAGAAAGTGTTTTAAATTGACTTGCTTAATGTTAAATAAATATCAGATATCCTGTTGATAGTCCTGTTAGTGGCTGTGAATTGCAGCTCTCTACATACATGACTAGCTTTCTTACGCCAGCTTTTTTTGTTATAAAACCAGGGCTGGTGACTCAAACCCTTAGGAAGGAGATCGATATGCAGTCGCCCTCCAAACACTGCAGTAAAGTTTTACTGAAGCCTCAGTGCACCATGGTGGCTGAGGGCAGCACCCCGTTCCCTGCACGTGCACTGAAAGCTTGAGGGCAAAATGATGTGAAGGCTCCACAGAGGCATCTCTGCAATTCTGAAATGAAGCTGACGGGTTAAACTTAAGAGTTAAGCTCATCCCGTGAGGTGGTGTTAGATTCAGGCTTGCTTAGTGGAATCTTGCTTTATGAATATCCCGTTAGTGACCTCTCTGCTGCTGCTGCTGTTGAGGTCAGCTGAAGCTGCTCACGAGCATAGTCTGTTGGATTAATGTCAGCTTGTTCCAAAGCAAAGGATTTGCTTTGCCTGGGCTTGTGTCCGTCTTTCCTGAATATGGATAGTGGATGGGGAAAATGCCTTGCGTTGGTTTTTAACTTGATTTACTTTCTGTTCCTCCTAAAGTTAACTTTTCTTCTCCTTTCTTTTTCAGCCAGTACTGGCCGCTGTTTGTTCTGTTTTTTTACATCCTTTCTCCCATCCCGTACTGCATAGCAAGAAGATTAGTAGATGACACAGATGCTACAAGTAACGCCTGCAAGGAGCTGGCAATATTTCTTACAACGGGCATTGTCGTCTCAGCATTTGGGCTACCGATAGTGTTCGCGAGAGCAGAACTGGTTAGTAACATTTCAATCTATGATTTGTGTTTTTATTTGATAGAAAACTTTGTTCTTTATGGTTTTTTTTAACTGAAAGTAAAGCTCTTATGCACTAAGCAACTCTTATAAATACGTATTTAGGATGCTTGCAGTGGAAACAGAATAAAGAGTTCTTTTGGCTAGAAAAACTAACGCTGGAAACGGAAGCAGGGCATAGTGTCACGAGTGCCAGTTGCTTCGTGTGGTCATGGAATAAACCCCAACAGCCTGTATGCAATGCAGAGAAAACGAGATAGGAGATAGTGGGAAAGCTTGACAGGCAAGTAACCAAATATAAAAACATACAGAATACTTTGAAGGCAATTTGTGGAGTAGTTAGGCTAAAGAAGCATAAATAAACAGCCCATTTTTGCACTCACTCTAAATTATATTGGTGTTATTTGTTAAACTTCTGGGTTGGCATTACATCTTTTCTAGTATATGGCTTTTCACTAAAATCCTTTGAAAGATGACCTTGTTTGTGTGAATTTCACAGAGCACTGCTAAGTCAAAAAACATGGAGTGCACTTTCCTAAAATCTCTTTAGGCAAGAACAGCTGGGACGGTCGGTTTGAATGCCTCACAACGCCCTCTGAGTAATCCACTTACTCTCCTGTGAAAACATGCACCTCCTTTTTCATTACTGGGATATCTGCTGGCATTTTGGAGACCTGCATCCTTAAATGACTGTTTAAAACAAGTCTTACAGCATGGTTAGCAAGTATAGCTGGGCTGCACGTGTTTGATGCTGTTGCCGAGCTGTACTTCCCTATTTTTGGATGTTACAGTAAAACAGGGGTGCCTGCTAGCCAGAACTTGGAACACGGCTGGGAGAAACTTGCCGTGCTGCTTGGCTGACTGGGAATTGGACAAGTTGTTTTGGGTAAACCCGGCCTTCTTGGTGTAGCTACAAATAATGAGACACCACCTTCTTGCAAAGTTCAGCAACAGGTCCATGATGCAATGTGACATTAAGATATTGCCTTTTGTGTCTTGTCAGTGTTCAGTTCCAAACGTGTCTAACTAAATTCCCCTTGTTCACAGATATACTGGGGCGCGTGCGCACTCGTTCTTACGGGGAATACAGTCATCTTTGCCACCATCCTAGGATTTTTCTTGGTCTTTGGCAGCAATGACGACTTCAGCTGGCAGCAGTGGTGAAAGGAAGATGGAGAACTATCACAGGCATCTTGTCATGCAGTGGCCATCCATACAAATGAGAGAATGGGCAATAAAGAGAAGTAGCGTAGCAAGCCTCTTGAGTATCCTAGATACTCCTTTTCACCTTGTTCGTTCTGAGTGTACTACTGTTGCTGACAGGGATTCTACATTTTTTTATGAAGTGGAGAGATGATTGATTTCACTTTTACCTATGGTATGTTTTTAGGTGCTCTCCTGGTTTAAAATTGTCATCCTTCTGTTTGGTGTTTATGTGAAGCTTTAAATCTGGAACAAGAACATTTAAACGTGGCTTCAAAGAAGATTTAAAGATGTTTTTTTTTTTTAAGTTAAGCATTAATACTGTGTTTCAAAATAACTTTTTTTATATGGTGTTTAAATTACAAGCTGAACTGAGGTAAGAGATGTGCACCACCATTGTCAATTGCCAGATCAATAGATTTTTGCTGTATTTTAGCAGAGGCAAGGTGGGGTGGGGAGTGCCAATTGCAGATTTTTCTTCTGCCCATACCTCAAACTGGGTGATGAATGTTGATAGCCTTCATTTCAGGAGAAGGCTGAGGAGCAGGTAGAGTTATTTGGGAGAAGTCTTAAATTTTAACACCGCTAGCACTTTTACCTGCTTTGTTAATCCTCATGTGGATGTGACATTCAAATACTCTGTAAATGTATCAATGCTACGACATACAAAACTAAATTGTATTGTAGGGGAAGGGAAAATGATGTTTCAATTCTGTTTTTTTAAAAAAATCTTTTGAACTCTTTGTATTTATAAGTATTGTATGGTTTTGAACTTTTGTGTTAGCTTTTTACCACAAAGATGGTAAAATGTTCATTTATGGAACTACTGGCCTGTTAATTTGAAGCATAGACAAAGCTAATTCCTCCTTCCTCTTTTTAATTTATTTTATACATAGTAAATATATATATAATGAAACAGCTTTTCAAATGTAGATTAAAACTTTGTGTTAAACTTGACTAAGAATGTGGGGTTTTTATTTTTTTTTTTCCCCCTCCACATAATGCAGTTGAGGCATGACTTTTTTGGAAGTCACTGGCTGAACCGGTTTCACTGACTGTTTTTAAGTTCTTATGCACTATCAGTTAGTAAGATTTGATGTTATGTCTGTAACTGTAGCTTGTGTTCTGTAAGATTGCACATGTAGCTTCAAAGATTTAAGACCTGTTTTCTTCATACCTCTCAATTGTCTGGATTTTTCATTTAAAGAAGAAATCTGCCATTGACATTCCGTTGCAAGATAGTTGATGAGTGCCAGTTAACCAGGTGTGATTGTACCACATGCAGTGATAAACTTGACCAAACATACTTCTAAACAATATTTTTGTTCAACTCTCTCTCAAAAAAAAAAAAGTCTAGGAAACTTACCGTTCATAATGAAAAGCTGATGATTGCTTAGGTCTTGCTTAACGGTGGGGGAGTATGAAAAGGCACAGAATTGCGGGTCTTGGCTGTAGTATTTTTGCACAGATGTAAACGAAGTATAGAGCTTGAATGTTTGAAGTCAGATAGTGATAGTAGTTACTTACGTGCTGTGCTGGAGGGACTTAACGCCTACAGGCGGGGGCAGCAGGGGCGCAGCTACCTACATGTGCTGCTTTGTTCATGTCATGTGTGTAAAATAAGAGCTCAGTTTTACTTGTGCTGGTAGAGGAACAAACAGGTGCCAAGACCCTAGTGCAGAAGCCAGTCTACAGCAGATTGTCTTTCAGCCATAAGTAAACGCTTCACCAGACTGCCTGCGATGGTGACATTTGGAGGTGTGTAAAAGCTGTAGAATCACTCGTTTCATTGCTTTTTTCAGTGAGACTTCTGCATCCCTGCCCCCAGCATGATGGATGCTTCGGAAAATCTCCCAAGCCAGTGGCTAAATTTGCAGTCCTTGCGGAGGAGGAACGCTTAGGACTTGTACAGGTCTTCTGAATCTGTTACCGACTCCTTTTTTGTGGTCAGGAACTGTGTTTTCTTTCTCATTCCTGTGCTGCTAAGCCTACTTCTCCATGTGATGCTACTCTCTGGATTGCTGGGCCATAGAACTGACCATGTATGCACTGGCTGTGCGTTTTTGTATGTTAATTGCATCACAGCATTACCTTCTTTTGCACACTGAGTATGTGCAGTATTGCTCTGATTGACGAGCTAGACAACTTGAGAGGTATAATCCTTCCATATAATATGCACTGAGCGTTACCGTCCTTGAGGGAAAAACTTTGAACAATAAAAATTTTAAATAGCAACCTGAGTTCTGTATGTTTAATCAGAAGTACTCTTAATAAAAGAGGATTTTGTTTTGAGTAGTAATCGCTTTTTTTCTTTCTTTAATGTGGTTGTCATTCCTGTTGAAGAAACGTCACCAGATTACTCAATAGTCCTTCAG